ACGTATTTCGGTTATTTGCCTTCAATACACATCATTAAATAAAAAGTCAGACAGATAACTTTGATGTGGTTTCATAACTAGTCTGGCGAAATTAAATAATTCCTCTACTGTAGCAGAGAATCTCCGACAAAGGAATTGGTATATTAAATTTACAAAATAGTTTCTGCACATTATCGTATTTATTGAGCATTATTAAATCTCGAATCCTGATGGTTCAAATATCGTAAACATTCCTCAAAATATTTCACTGCACGTATAACTGCAATACATATTTCAAATAATTATTTCGAGTTCATTCTGAAAAAATATATAATTAAAGTACAATGAATATTTGTAAAATAAAATAATATTTCAATCGATATAAAAATGTATAATTATTAATGTAACATCATATGTCAATCTCTGTGTAAATACCTTTATCTTCTACTTCAAATATTATTTTATTCAGCAGTATCAAAGTGATCTCTCAAATTATCGTAAAAATTCTACGAAATATGTCGTTGCAAGTATAATGAGAGGAATATATATCTCAAGTAATTATTTTTATATTAAAAAATATAAAATTGAAATACATGGTATACTTGATAAAATCAAGTCAATATTTCAAATAATATTTCAATTTCAGTATGAAGATAAAAAATTATCTCAAATTAAATAATGTTACAAATTATGTAGTTGGAAATTAAATTATTATTACGTAATAATTTAACAATGTTACACTTTTATTTTTACGTTACATTTTATTTTTACATAATTTGTAACATTATTACAACAACGTTACAAATTATGTAGTTACAAATAAAATTATTGTTATATAATAATAATTATACTTTTATTTTTTATCTTAAATGCCATTTTACTCAGCATTGTTTAAAACTGAAGATTGGACGCGATCGAGTCGCAGTAGTCATTGACTAAACTAGTCAGACGCGCTACTTAAAGGAAAAGCCGCGAACAAGTGAATTCTATTTTGAATGAGACTTTGTAAGATTGAAGAATAGCTAAAAATAATAATAATTAAATTACGAATTTTTACATCCTTAATATTTTTATCGTTGATAATAAAACTAGTGCATATAATATTATTAAATTTCTGTGCTTTTCAACTTATGGGGTTTAAATAATAAATTATTTCCGCTAGTTTCCATTTCAAAAATAATACAGGAAAAATATTCAATTTAAATAAATCATTTGCAAATAGTCTTTTATTTCAATGAACTCATTGAAATAAGATAAGATGAAATAAAAAATACAAAGTGCTGCTTGTTTTTATAATGTAAGGTTAAATAAAGTAATCAATTAGCTAGTTATTCGTGGCAATACGAACTAGTTATCTCACAGATTTATTCTTGTACTCTTCAATACGTCTGAGCTTCTGCATGTAAGATACTATAAGAAATTTTGTATTTCTGATGAAAAATTACAAATCATTTGACTGAAATTACCTCTGGAAACGAATACAAATAAGGTAAAACTAAAATAAAAAAAATTCCATTAATAATCAAGTAATGAAATAATTGAAAAAAAGAATCGTTTATTTGTTCAAATAAACTAACGCAAGATAACATCCAGTTAAATAAAATAATGTATTATTTGAATAATCATTTTTTCATTCAAATAGAGTAAAACCTATCTCCGTTATAAAACTCTTGATCAGTACGGTAACACTGTTTTGTTAATAATAAATTTGTTAACTTGCCTATTAGTTGTTTTGTCAATTGACACTGACGTTGAAATCAGTTGAACGTCTCAAATAAATACATATTTGCAAACGTTTTTTTTAAAATGAATCCCTTGAATTACAAATACAAATCCAAAATGATAAATGTACAATCACTTTCATAAATATTGTTGAATAACAATATTATTGAACAATATTGCCATTCAATATTGTAAAATGGTATTTTTATAAATATTGTTAAATAATACTATTGATAACTAAATGGCAAACGTCGTATACGCAATATAAAGAATTAAGAAGTTTACAAAAAATGAAGTATCTCATTTCATCTGATTGTATTTTGATGACAACTTGATGCTTTATATTCAACATTAAGTTAATTATGATATTTTTGTAAAATTTTGTCATTAGGTGACTTTTGACATATTATGAACACAGAAAATATGACACATTATGAACAAAGAAAAATAAATTTTTTAATAATTTTATTACAGTCTTTCTTAGTTGAATTTCTATTTTTTTAGAATATTCCAACATTCGAACTAATGTTTTAATATATATATATATATATATATATATATATATATATATATATAATATTCGAAATACTTGAATATTAAGATATTTGAAAAATAAAAATGTTTACGTCTAAGATGGTAAATCAGAGAAAATAAAATAAGAACGGTCAAACAATTTTTCAGCGATTCACGAATGTTCCATAATGAGGAATTATTGTTACATTAAAATGACGTAAGCGGTACTTTTAAGTACCCTCAGGATACAAAGGGTTATACAATAACAATTTAAAATTGTTGGAAATATTAACGTTCAATGTGAATGGAATAATTAAATATCTTAATTAAAATTAAATGAATTATGAATTGAAATGAAAATGAATTTGCGAAATAATAAATCACTGGAGAACATTGTGAAAGAACAAAAGGAATAAAGTATACTTAAAAGAACTGAAGCTGTTTACTAAAGTTGCTTAAATTAAAATTTTCAAACAAAATTGGTTTAAGGTTATTGAGGATTGGCAACTTTCAATTATTCTCTCTATTAGATAGCATTAATCTACTTATTTTTGAGAATCATTTAAAATCATTAACTTCTTACATTTTCTAAGAGAAATAAATTTACATACTCTACTCACATATATATGCCATTACGAGTATAAAAAAATGAACAACTTTCACGCCAATTTTGAAGATGTATTGTGATTCTCAATAAACTAAAGCCAAATAAAAATAAAGATCGCTAAATTAGTAAACTTGTATATTACACAAGATTAATTTTTTTCTCTTGGCATACAACGTGTAACTCGAAGCTCTTCAATGTACTTTCAAAACACCCTAACATCTGTGCACTAGGTTATTTTTCTCTTTTCCCTTTTATATCATTTATTGTATTATTGAACTATGTATGTTTAATAATTAATATCATTATTAAACTACGGATTTTTATGCATTTGTGGAAAATTTAAAGACGCAGAAATGCAGAGAATGTGAACAATATATGATAATATGTGAAATATCGAAAGTAGAATACTTGATATAATATTTAGTAACGAAAAGAAATTTCTTTAATTGCCATCATAAAAATTTGAAATTTCATAATAACTTTATAAAAATGAATATATAAAGTGTCCAAAGTATAATATTTCTATATAAATAATTATTATTTTTATAAAATAATTACTAGACATAACTTTTTATTTAAGTTTTCCTTTCCAAAATTTGTTTATAAATAATTATAAAAAATTATAAATAATTATTAGACAAAGTAATTTTCTATCCTTTCCAAAATTTATTTGTAAAAACCAGAATTTTCATAAAAATCCGCAGTTTAGTAATATGCAGAAATATATTTTAAAACCCAATATACTATACTCCATACAATAATTACCAGAGAAAATAATTTTTTATTCCCGTTTCCCTTCTTAAAATTTACTTATAAGAATATGTGTAAAAATACATAGAACACCCAATACACCATACTCCAAACAATACTCCATACAATAATTGCTAGAATAATATTCTAAGTTCCCCTTTCCAAAATTTACTCATAAAAACATGAATTTATATTTTTCTGCACATTTTTACTTATAAAAATATGAAACACTCAAAGTACAATACTCCATACAATAATTAACAAATAATATTCCAGTCCAAGTTTCCCTTTTCAAAATTTATTTACAAGAAACACAAATTCTGATAAAACCATATAAAAATATATAAAACATCCAAAGTACGATATATAATATTCCAATAATTGCTATAATTACTAGAGGAAACAATCTACAATCTACATTCCCCTTTCTAAATTTGATTTCCAGAAACATGAATTCGCGTTCCAATTACCGTCGTCATCATCATCACCATCTTCTTATGAGATCGAATCACACCTATTCGGTACTATTTTTCCACCTCGAATCGCAATCTCTTCGCACGGAGAATCGTCGCCGAAAGGGCGACCGTGTGCGCGGGACAACGTCCGATCTGGGGCGACCAGGTCCGGCAGGGTTGCAGGTGAACGGGACCATCTTTCGCTGGTTGGTGATCGTGGCGGTGGAAAATGGTGGTCCATTCGGCTGGGGATTTCGTCGTCTCTGTGTCGGCGCCTGATCCGTGGCGAAGAAGGAGCCGCCACCACCGCCGCCGCTGCCGCCGCCGCCGCCGCCGCCGCCGCCGCCGTGGTCGTCGCTGCTGCCACCACCGCCACACAGCTATCGCCACATAACCACCGGCACCGGCACACGTCACCGGCACCGGTACCGGCACCGGTTCCACCCCCACCACCACATCCACCACCGCCGCTTCCACCACCACCACCGCCGCCATCCACCCACCACCACCACTGCCACCTCGATCGCCACCACCAGGACCGGCAGCACCACCAGCGGCAGAGCAGCACCACCGGCGCTGCCGCCACCGCGTTATTGATTTGACAGGAATGACGGGAAATGGCGCAGGAATCGATAAGAGGTGGTCCCAAGCTGGTGGTGGGTTCTGCGCGGGTGTACGGCGCGGGTGAACGCGAAGCGGGTGTAGAAAGGAACAGGGGAGGGAGGAGTAGTGAGGGAAAGCTCGTGGAACTAGAGAGAGAGAGAGAGAGAGAGAGAGAGAGAGAGAGAGAGTGAGAGAAAGAGAGAGAGAGAGAGAGAAAGTGAGTGAGTGAGTGAGAGAGAGGGTCGGAGGGGGAAGAGGAGAGTTCCCTGTGGAAAAGTTCTCGGGGTTGGCGGGGTGCAGAGTGGGGGGCGGCGAGGGAGGACGGGAGGGCAGCGGAGAATATTTTCATACTCCAGACTCCCGGCGTAGGTAGAAGATGGCAGCCGAGGCGTGATTCGAGACCGGGACCTTCACTCTCTCTGGGCGCGCGCGCGAGTAGGGGGTATTCCTTCGACGTCGGCTGAACCTGATCGCGGAAGTAGTGCGCTAGCGTGGTGCATTATCGCGTGTCGTCCAGTGTACCAGGAGAATCGCGATGTTCTAGGAGAAAAAGCTCGTTCGTTCGTCGTAAACGTCGTCGGTGCCGGTTTGTCCTCCTGTCGCCGCGAGCCTTCCCATCTACGGATTCTCTTTCTCTCTCTCGCTCTCTCTCTTTCTTTCTCTCTCTCTGTCTCTCTCTCTCTCTCTCTCTCTCTCTCTCTCTCTCTACTCCTAGCTACACGTCTCTCCTCCTATCTTTTTTTCCACTATTCTTCGTCGTATCTCGCATCTCGGCTCTCTGCTCCGTTCTCTCCGCAGAGTTGAATTTTCGGTTTTCGCGATCGTTTAGTCCCATCTCTCTTTTCTCTTATCCATCCCCTTTCTTTCTCTTTCCCTTTTCTTTTTCGGTTGTAACCGCCTCGCGTACGTAACCGAACTCGCGGCCCTCTGTCTTCTCGCTGTTCTCTCTCTCTCTCTCTCTCTCTCTCTCTCCTTTCTCCCTTCGAGAACCGCGGTAACCCAGTCAAGTCAGTCGTGTACTCATGATCCAACCGGCGACCAGGTAGTATCGCTGATTATGCGCGACATGAGCACCACCGCCATCGTAGTGTTTTACGAGCGTCATGTAAAATGGAATTAAACAATGTTGTTAAGACGTAAACATGTTTTGGCTACACTGTGGACTCTTTGTTCTCGTGATTGCCGTACCTGGATTTATTAGCAGCGCCGACAGCACGTCCAAGCGAGGTAACGCCTGTGCCTGTGCCTGCCTATTTGTCTGCCCTACCTACCCTGCTACTACCTGCCTGCTTTGCTTGCTCTTGCCTGCCTGCCTGTTTGTCTAACCCCCTGTTTCTCCCCCCCCCCCTCCCCCCTCCCCACCTCCCCCTCACCCACCTCCTCCTGTTAAACCCTGTTACTCGTCTATTTGCCATCCACCGCCTGGTTCATCCCGTCTACCATCTTTACACGCTATCCGCTAATTGTTTCTCGTGTTTCTCGACGATACGAACACTTCGAGTTTTCCGAGAGACCCCGGGGGAGGAGAACTTCTCACGCAAGGGGGTTTTAGAAAGAGAGCGAGCACGTCCATGCTCGATCGACGATCTCGCCCCTGACGTGTCTCACTTCCGCTGGGGCCCATTCTTCTTTTTCCTTCCTTCCTTCCTTCCTTCCTTCCTTCCTTCCTCCGAGCGTGCCTGATTTATGCCCGTTGGCACGCGATCCTGTAATTCCGTACGTGGCTCGTTAAGTACCAATTTCAGCCCGCGCGTTCGCCTTTTCGTCTGCTATCGCCCTGGCTATCGGTTGTCCGATCATTTCTCAGCCTCGGCCTCGTAAATTCCACCTCAGGACGCGTTACGTCGTCGTTAATCGCTTACCCCCGGGGCTGGCATGGCGTATACATCGTCCAGTCGCGCACGATTGCCTGTTGCAGACCGACGAGAATTTTCGGTCAATTCTCGTTCCTCTGTTTTCTTCTTTCCCCGAGAAGCGTGTCACTGAGACGATTTCCCTCCAACGGGCGGTTGCATGACGTATGGGATAATGTAGTGTCTCGCGAGTGTTTGAGTGAACAATTTTTGGGGGCAATATCCTCCTGGAAGATTGTCGGCTGATAATGCTGATGATGCACGCCGAGTCAAATTTCGCGTAATGATTCGCTTCAGTGTCGAGAAAAGGGGAGGATTTGTCTTTTTCTCCGATGTAAATGAAGTGATATTTTTCTACGTCGATTGTCCGAGATATGAATCAGTTCACTCCTTCAACAGTGAAATTTTGTTTCATCTAACGATAAATGCAAGACGAGTGCGCTCATCGTTGTCCGAGCGTATTCGTCAAAAACTGTTAAGATTGTAATAACGATGTAATAAATTCACATATTTTAATGAATAAATGTTCACATATTTTAATTAAGTTTGTAATAACGTTTCACATATTTTAATGAAACGTTCCAATTTTGGTTTCATAATTAAAGAAACGGTGTAGATATTTCAACGTTCAATTATTCGAGAAGTGAATCAATTAAAACAATATTTTACAGAAAGTCACAATTGAAGAAAGAATATCTCATCTCTCTTTTATATATAAATGAAGTGATACTTATTTAAAATATTTCAACGTTCAACAATTAAAAATGTCTCTTTCTTCGATACAAATGAAAAAGAAAATATTTCTTAGCGTTGCTCTTAGTCTTTGTACACATGTATTCAAGAACTGAATGACTGAAAACTATTATTATTAATGAAAATTAAATGTTAATTGTTATTTATATTAGTTAAAACTAAAATACCTCATGTAAAGTCAAATTTCAAATCTGCAAATGGTTTCACAACTGAAGCAAATTTTGGAGCGAAAAGGAGACATGTTTTACACACGTTTTGTTTCACGTTCTGTATATTTCATAAAAAAAAAAAAAGGATTTCATTTTACTTTTACAAAAAGATTTACGCTTGGTGTAAAAAATAGTTAGCTTCAAGTGATTCTGCAAAAGCTCGCCATGAATTTGTAGCACCTTATTTTTCTTAATTGCCCTTTTCATTTTTGCTTTTCCTTTGATATAAAGCCAAGTAATTTCTAAACTATTTAGTCTATTATGTCGATTATCATTGTTGAAGCAATGAATTAATTAATATTTTACCAGAATTAACTTAAACCAGAATTGTTTATTTACGAATGAAAAATATTATCATTATTATTGATTATGCAAGAAGCAATCAATACTTAATGATCCGAAATTGAGCAAATTTGAAGCTTTATTTCCGCCGAGAATATTATATTCCTCATTTGCTTTTTAATAACTTGTTTAATAGGAAAGGATACAGTTAATGCTACTTTAAATTTTGTATCATTTTTATGGACCTCTTAACAATTCAACAGTTACAATTTCAGTTTCATCTACACCAAAACCAAGTTTAAAATAAATTTAGGTGCAATAGTTTCACATTACGTGAAACTTGTCTCATAAATTCACATAAATTTTTGAAAATTATGGAATTCTAATTTCTTTTATCATTTGTTTGGTTTAATCAATTGACGATTATATATCACACAAAACTTGTCTCATAGATTGGCAAATTTTTGTCAATTACGGAATCCACACTGCGTTTAACTAATCACTCTGAAATTAGGTAGCTTAATTTAGCCCAATTCCAGCCTGAGTACCCAATGTTACAAATAAATTACTCGATACTTTGGCAACAAACGATAAATAACGATGACAACAAAAATATACGAACACACGGATATAACTTGACTATGATCACGAGGAATTTTTTTCGGTTTTTTTTTTTTTTTTTTTTTTTTTTGCCCCCACGAACTTCGCATTTTTTTCGATGGAATTCGAGCCGAGTGCCCCCCACCCCGAGATATAAAAACGAAAGAGCGGAGAGAAGTGGTTGGGAACGGTCCAACCATAATCCAAGGAATCTCGCGATCTCTGAAATAGAGCGTATCTTGAACGGACAGGTCGCAATACGTAACCGTTGTCGTGGATTTCCGCCGCGTTGAGTCCAGAGACTTGCATTATTCATAATCACAGCCGATCGCGTTATCCTGCTTTGCATGCCTCTGCGCGTAAAAACCGCACGCTAATGTTATGTGTTTTGCACGGACGTTATTGCTCCGTTATCACGTATCGATTTCCACCACCTACCCTCTCCCATCTCCTCACGCGGATGATGCACGGACGCGACGAGCGTTCACGCTCGCGCCTCGCTTCGTTAAATAAATAAATAGCGCGTCCAGCGACGAAAAATTCGCTCGATTACCAGGACGAGTCACGGTTAACCACGGATCGAGAAAGTTAAGGAAACTGTCGAATAGGTCCTATCTGAAATGGATCGTGGAACATTTTTCCGAGAGACAAGTTACGATCAAAAATTGGAATAAAAATTTCAGACAGAATGAAACTTACGAAATGTTCCTGCTCGGTGGAACGGATAATTTTGCTCGTCAATATTAACAAAGTTCTCGATATTTGTAGCAAACACCGATGGAACGCCATTCGATAAATAACACTCGAATATGAAAATAGATCTTCAATTAAACGTTCGAAAGTAACTTTTATCTGTATAATGAAAGTTCTCCGTGGAACGTTTATTATTGCAGATTCTGCAATATCCGTTTCGTGAGAACGCGGCTCGAAAGTGTTCCTAAGTGATGACATAAAAAAAAAAAAAAATAAAAAATTCTACAATAATAGATTTTTTCATAAATTTACAAAAGAAGAAATTCTTCAGGATAGATTCAATCGAACATATTGGAATAATTCGAATAATTTGGAACAATGCGTGCAAGCCAAACTTCTTGTTGCTTCTTACGAGAGTTTATAAAATGATGAATCTGAATTATTTTTCAGAAGATTGAAATTATGTATCATTAACTTCTATATATATATACTTGGTGACTGCTTGAATGACGATGTCACACGTTAGGGAAATATAATCAACAAAATTTCTTGCTAAATTCGAACAGGATAATTATTTACAATGCTGTATCATTTTATTTGAAGTAATACTTCATTTACTATTTCGTAAATAGATTGCTGGTAGATTATATAAAAATGATTTCCCAGGGTAAAAGCTTAAATATTGTGGCACTGATACACTAAAGAAAGATGTTAATTTCCTTCAGAAATTTAATCTTATTTTTGCCTCATGTTGAAGAAAATCGCGAGAAAAAGAAACAAATAGGTTTTCGTTTGTCTTATTTCGTTGTACTTATTTATCTACACTTATTCATGTTATCGTTTATTTTGTTATCCATATTATCATCTGTTTAATGAAGATACTGTTCAAAAGGATAGTCACTTGCAGCAATGCAAGTATCACATCGAATACTGATCATTCTAATTGTTCTAGTAATGTTTGCTGCACTTGATTGGCATCGAAATTGAATAAGTGTTTTCGTTTCTTTTCTCACGATTTTCTCCAAGATAGAGCAAATCTCCAAAAAAACTTTTCTCCTTAAATTTATTGGTCCTCTACACGCTCTCACCAGGGACAGCATGTATAATATTAATCCTCGTTCGTTCCTTATTTTTCCCTTGGTTGATGCAATGATGAAAAAATAACTAATTACATTTGCAAATTCTTTTATTAAAAAATAAATAGATGAAATTTCTATAGTCAAATTTCTCACAAGTCAATTTCATATCGTGATAGATAGATATATATATAATATCTTTTTACGAGAGGAATACAGGTAATTGCCAATTGAATACAGAAAACAATGCACGAAATAATTTTTAGAAAAAGAAAAAAAATTACATATCTTCATTTTTTTTTTAACAAAAATTGAACGAGTGACGAATCAAACGATGAATCAAATTTTTAAATCGATCATTTGACCGATTGCGTTGGTACATTTGGTGTTTAAAAAAAATTATTTTGAAAACGTGATGTTAAGTCAAGTTAATTTTGCAAAACTTCGAAAATTAAATTACCGATTTCAACGATTCACGTGCATTTTAGATTTTCTCTCGAATATCGTTGATAAAAATCATTGTCACACGACAAAACGATAATAACAAAGGAAATTCTATAGTCATGTTCAAATCGCAACGTCTAAAATGCGACGACATCGTGTTTGTCGGTTGGAAATTCAAGCCAGCTTGTTCTTCGTTGGTTCACATCGATATTTATAGCACGATATTTATAACAGATGTGTAATTTCAGAATAATTCCGCGGGATTATTAATTTGCGAAACAGAAAAACAGTCTGTGTCGTGGAAATAAATAAGCTGA